CTCATAACACAAAGTTCATTTGGGAGGAATGAAACACGGATTTTTAAAATCCAGACTCTTGGAAAACCATGTCAGGGTGTGCATATACACATGGGGGGGGGTAGGGGAAGAGACAGGCTTTTCTTGGACATTCATGACCTAGAATATAGAAAGTCAAAAAGAATTTGTGTGACTCTAATGTTGACTAAGTAGTGTCTTCAGCCACAGGAGGACACCATTGCTTGAAGAACAAAATTTGGCATTATGAATATTAGAAAAGTGTTTTTCCTGTATTTGCAGTGTGTCCTCTTCCTCATCATTTCTATTTTGTTCAATTACATGGTGATTATAGATGTTAAAACATTATGTGGACACTGCATATATCCAACAAGTACTTAGTAAATTCACTGAATTCAAAATGATTTAGAACTGAAAGTATTGGACCAAGTTAAGAATTAGTTTGACTTATGAAATTTCCATTCCTTATTCTTGCACCATTACACAGGTAGGAAATATAACACACACACACACACACACACACACACACACACACACACACACACACACACGCACAAAGTGGCAAGGCAAGAAGAGCTCTCACACTTATGGCCTGTTGAGCATGTGAGCAAGATATGACCTCTAGTACAGGGTGCTCTCATTGTTTAAGTAAGCAAGTCTAGGTTAACACAGCAGTAAAACAGCATTTTCTATTAGTATTGGAATATTTAAAATAAGCAAATATTTCCAAAGCTAGAAAAGATCATGAAAGTTAGATGTAAACATATAGTGATTAAAGGTATTTAAATCAATACTTCATGTTTGAAAAATAATGGTGGGATCAACATCCGTTTAGCTGATTATATTGTATCTTGAAGGATTGTCTTACAAAAATGTACTACTATATGGCAGCATTTTAAAAACGGTTTGCTGTAGAAGTGTATCAAAGAGTAACCACAGCAACACTCTGTTTTAATGTCATCAGTAGTATGATGTCAAACAGACCAATGTCTCTCCTAAAGAACAAATAATTTTATAACCTTTTAAAAAATGTCAGTACCCACAGCATTGCCAGTAGCATTGGCTGCCTTTCATTTAAGCTTCACAGTTTGTTTAACCCAAGAGAGTACATTGCATTGATTTTCTCAACCTTTGTTCTCTTACTTATTAAATGGAAATAAAACAAAACAAAACAAAACCCTTTCACACATGTGGTATGGACTGCATGTCAGCCATTGCTGCTTGACAAATTTCCAGCATTTCAACCTTGCAAATCACATTTCTCCAGCACCTTTTTATTTCATTTTTAATGATTCTATATTAGTGCCATTCCCTTTGGGAAATTTTAATCAGGCTTTGGAAAAGGATGAAAATGTGTACAATGGTAGCCTTTCTAAACAAAATAATCTTTGGGGGAAAAATCCCTGCCACTCTGGAACCAGGGATTCCATTGTGCCCTCCTAATTACACCGAGAACAGGGAAGTTAGAGATTTACTAGACACACCTGATCCCAAGGATGAAATGCCTACACTTCGGATTCAGAGCTGAGGCCATTAAGGGCAGGAGTTCAGTTAATAAATACAGAGAAATCAGAATGGCACAATACAATGGGAAAAGAGTAAGAAATCAGGACCTTCCTTTGTGGGAGCATTATGAGGGGAAGAGACACATATAGTAAGACTAAGAAACAGTGGTATAGTGTCTGCTCCCAGAAGTTCTTTTCCTGAGGTCAGGCATTTGGATAAGGGTCTCCATTCCCTGGAGAACTTGAGGAAAGTTCCTGCTTGCTAAAAAGAGAAACAGTCTTATCTCTGGCAAGAACTTGTGGCTCTCCCATTAATATATGACTGACTGGGGCCTATTGTTAAGGTCAAGACTAGCTTCCTAAATCAGTGATTTCAAGCCACACCCCAGATCACACGTCCCTTGTTTTCCTGTTTAATCTTCTGTGCAACTGTAGAGTATAAAAGGTATAGTCTTTTTCAAATAAACGAATGGCAGCCATCCTGATTCACCTTCAAATCCTGTTGTGTGTCTTGTCCATTGTCTACCTCCCCTTGTCCTCACCCCACACATCCTCGTAGGTACCTGAACCTACCTGATGAATCAGGTCTCCAGCATACATGTGTCTTGGCTTTTTATTTTTCTTCTGAGGTATGTGTGGTGATGTAATATCTAAAATGGAACCAGTAGCTTTTAAAGAGTTCTGCACTTTGGTGCAGAACCAAATAACAGTCACAGATTCTATGATGAAGGCACATTTGCTCACTTTTTGAACTGTTCAAGAGGAGGGGATGATATTCCAGGATTTTCTGCTGATCTTCTAACTGCTTATTGAGTAAACACATTTAATTAGGATGTTACTTTCTATCCTACACTCATAAACTTTCTATGTTTATTGTGTTATCACCGTTTGACTTGGATAATATGTGTTGTACACAAGCTAACCAAAGATGATTTGTTGTTATTGTTGTTGTTGTTTGATCAGGTAAATTATGCAGTAAGTGTCTTGTAGTTTTTCTAGGTTTATTTCTTAGTGGCTGTAGCCAGGATTTCCAGGGGGTCTTTCCTGATAGAATCTAATCCATATAAACCTAGAACGAGTCCACAGCCTCTCCTTTCCTGTGGAAAGAAAAGCATAACCTCTTTCCCAAAGCAACATATCTTTTGACTTCCATTTTGAAGTTGTCATTTTTTAATCACACAGGTTGGTTTAATCCAGCAATTTCCATAATCCAATGTGTTTTAGCAACTGTTGTTCCTTCACCAGCAATCAGAAAATTTAAAGACAACACAAAGTCATACAGGATCCAGATTCCTTGTGTATTTTCCTTCTTTTCATGGCTTTTTTTCCTTTATATTACTTTATTCTTTGTTTAAAGACTATTATTTTTACTATTTTTTTTTCTATGACTGTCTATACCGTTTCTCTTTTCTCTCACAAGTCTATGTACATTTTTAAACCCATTTAGTGGGGGTTTTTTCCATCTGGATATGTCTTTACTGAACATCTATATTGTTCTTTGATCACATGAGATGAATCTTAAAGTTATGTTAGTCCCCAGCAGGGCTCAGCTTGGTGCTTTGTATTGCTGTATGACATTGTTGGCTGGGTCCTTCTTTCTTCTCAGAGCTCTTTCTCTGGCTCTCCCACCTGTCTCTCCTGCCTAGCTAATGGCCATTTATCTTTTTGTTAAACCAATCAGAAGTTGCCTTGCCAAAGACACATCTTCACAGTGTACAAAAAGATTATTTCACAACACTTGTTGGAGGAAGTGTGTCACTGTGGAGGTGGGCTTTGAGGTCTCACATATGTTCAATACATACCCAGTGAGACAAACTATTTCCTCTTGCCTTTAAGCCAAGATGTGGGACACTTGGCTACTTCTCCAGCACCATCTTTGCTTTCACACTACCATGTTTCACCACTGCGGTAATGGACTTGTAGTGACCAGGGCAACTTAGTCCACACCTGCCATGGCATGCTCAATAGAGTCCAACCAGAAAGTAGGCAACATCTGACTCCAGGAGAGACTGCAAATTGTGACCATCCAGCACCACCCAGGAATAGACCATCCAAGAGGAAAATACCTAACATTTTAATCATTGTAGATAAGCATCACCAGATGTCCCTTAGCCCAGAACACACCATCCCCTTTCACCAAGACCCCCCTACACAAATGACAGCCAATCAGGGGTCCTGAACCTTTGAAATCCCTCACCCCAACATCTTCTATGATAAAAGCCTCACCCCAACCAAGCTTGAGGCTCTCTGATCATACCAATGTGTTGGACAGACAGAGAGTCCAAGTTGGAACTTGAATTAAAGCCCTTTCCTTTTCCATACAGGGTTTGGTCTCCTTGTTGGATTTTGGGGGATTCTGTGACCTGGGCAGAACAGACTAAACCTCTGAAAATGGAAACTACCCCAATTAAATGTTTTTCCTTATAAGAGCTGTTGTGGCCATGGTGTTTCTTCATAGCAGTAGAAACCCTAACTAAGACAGTCTCAGAAAAACACATGTTATATGTTTTCTGTCATCTGTGCTTTTATATAGACTCCTAAAATCTGTACAGATGTATGATATGAAATCTTGCCAGGAGAACTAGAGAACTAATAGAATGGGAAAGGCAAAAAGGGGGGAAGGGAGGCGAGGGGCTTGGGGAAGAATATGTTCAACAGGGAATATATACATATAGGAAGATGTTTTAAAATACAGAAGATGTATTGGCTCCTGTATCTAACTTGGTGATAAGCAGCAATGGAAATATAAAGTACAGCACCTTGATTGTGACTTCCAAGTGAGATTCATAGGATTTCCCACTAAGTTAGACATTGACTTCTCCAATGACCAATTTACGTTTTACCAAACACTTTTATTAGGAATGCAGATAGATTTATATCAAGAGACTTGGATGCTGAAGTTATTTATAGAGATAATCACATGATTTTTGTTTCCAATAAAATAGAATTTAAGGAACATTACAAATTGAGTAATGCTACTAATTATTACATCCTATAATGTAGCAGATAGAGACAAAATATTGGTGAAGAATGCCAGAGAACAGTCTTGAAATAGAAAACATTTGTCTATATGATGAGGAAGCAAAGGAAATTCTAGACAAGATAAAAAGGAAACCAGTGTTTATATTGTTGTGAAATTGTAGAATTTCCAAGAGAAAGTATAAATGGCAATCTGATTATTCATCATGTCATTGTAAATTAAGACAGAATGAAATGCCATTTCATAATCTCAATGTGACAAAGTTAAAAGTATGACAATGACTAAGTATTTTGTACAAATTACAGCTTCTAGGCACTGTTGAGGCCCCAATTATTCAAATGTAATTTAGAAAATAATTTATTAGTTTCTGACAAATCAATATCCTTTGCTACAACAATGCTTATAAATTGAAATTCTAGATAACCCATATATGCATATACACCAGTAGACCTACCCAAGAATCAAAGAAACTTTGCAATAGGAAAACAGAAAAGTTTCCCAATATCTATCATGAAGAGAATTTGGTGCTTATTGATGTGATTTTACATATCTAGATTCAACATTTAGCAATGGAAAAGACTAAATATGGGTGTGTCATAAATAGACCACTTCATGCATACGCTCTTAAACCAGGCTCAGGAAAGGCAGTGAGTCAAAGAATACATACATACAGTATGTCTTGTTTATATAAGACTGAAAAGTGACAAAGTTTTATAATGTATAATCTTGGAATAGAAATCTATATTCAAGATAGGGCAGGGAAATTAACATAATGAGACTTCCCTTTGGAGAACTGTGATGGAAGGAACATGCTCTAATAAGGGAAACAGATGATTTCAACTAGTTTAGTATTTCTTAAGCAAATTGGTTCAAAAAGATTGCTTATATAATGAAAAGTTTTAAAGATTTTATGACATTATTCCCAAACATATTTTATAAGTCACAGTCAAATAATAAATTTGTACAGTTTTTGAGGATTGTTAATTGATGGATATTCAATGTGATTACCACAGTGTGCCCATTTACAACACACTTGAATGTCTGAACATTTAGTTAGCCACGTATATTTGATGAACAGCTACTTAATCATTTGGATAAGCTCCAACTAGCATCTAAAACTCCTGCCATCCATCTGGATCTTCTCCTGAAGCATTGTATTCCTTGGGTCAGGGCTGTACTAGGTTTGCAACATCATGGTGTTTGGCTCCAAGAGGGAAACCAGTTCCAGCAAACAGGGATTTCTTCCCACTAGCTTGTGTCAGTCTGCCTTCTAGCTTTGCAGAGTGGAGTCTCTTCCTCTTTAAAGTAGGAAATCCCCACGAATGTGTAGTTTCAGACACTTTTCAACACAAGTGTTTCCATGCCCATCAAGTAATCCATTTTGATCAAACTTTATTTTATTCGTACCAAAGCAGATTACATTAGAATCTTCTCTGCTATTCTTATGGCTAAACAGAAGCAACTCAGCTGAATATGATATAAGTTTTTTAAAAGTGAAATTCAAAATAGACTGAGAAAACCTTAAATGTTTCTTGCTCTTAGTGTCACTGTGTCTAATATTACAATGTAAAAATATTTTCTTACATTAAAAAAATTGTGAATGACACATAAGCAAGTCTTGTTCTAAAACACAGACAAAACTGTTTTTGGTCATGTAACAATTTCTAAGCATCTATTTATTTAAAACCATGGCTGCCACTTTCAAGTGGAGGCTCCTCCCAGTATTGACTCCTCTCCCTGTTGACTCCTCCTACTTTGCAATCACCAACTTGAGTTTGCCCTTTGCATGATCTGGTAATCATGTTTAAAGGAATTTCTTGGCTAGATAAAAGCAAATACCTGAAAATCTACATGATCCAGGATGCATGATTCCACAATTGTCTGTATCCTTTTAAATCACCAGTCTTAAGCCTTATAACTTGGTCCACATCTACCTTCAGACACATTACCTCCTTTAAAATAGAAGTCAATGGGTGCAAATGTAAATAGCTTTCACTAGGTGAAAATGTGAAATACAATATGAAATTCCCAACTCCATTAGGAAGCAGCACTCCATGAAGGCTGTTTCCTCTTCCAGTAGACTAGCTATCCAGTGTTGTGATAGCTGGCCTCAGGGTACAATCCACCTCAGTTTTGCCTGAGGCTCTGCCTAAGTTTTCACCCATGTTATTTCACCCGACCAGAGAAAAGGGCACAAACACAGCCAAGACTCTGAAACCTGCATTGTGTTGTCTTGTTTGTGACACCCTTCAGAAGGGAGAAACACAGACCCTGAGCTTTCTGCACCAGAACTCTTAATTACTTTAAAATTTAATCCGAATTGAATTTAAGGAGTCACCTTGCATAAGACTAACAGAAAGGAAGCACATTTTAAAACATCTGTTACTTTTTTCCACACATTTTTTCCCACTCTTTTGTATCTTGATTTTGGCATGCTTCATCTCATAGACGTCACGGTAAATTACTTTGCCTTACGAAGGAAGTTTTCTTAAAGAACTTTTTTCTTGATTGGTCACGTGATCCCAGTAGGATCACATAGCACTTGGGAAGAAATATACAGGCCAATAAGCCAGCACTGGAGGCCAGGATTGAAAGAATTTCCACGGCCACCATGGTTTTGCCTTTGGAGCTCAGGTAAGTGGGTATGAAAGAAATCCACACACTACAGAAGACCAGCATGCTGAATGTGATTGTTTTTGCCTCATTGAAGCTGTCTGGTAGCCTCCTTGCCAGAAAAGCAATAAGCAAGCTCAGAACTGCCAGAAAGCCCAAGTACCCCAGGACACAGTAAAAGGCCAGGGTGGAACCCTCGTTACACCACAGGATGATCTGCCCAAACTCTGACTGCACATCAATGTCAGGGAAAGGAGGGTATGTCCCCAGCCAGACTGCACAGATACACACTTGGATGAAGGAACCACTGCAGACTATAGCATGGGAAAGTCGAGTCACCATCCACATTTGTAACTTGCTCCCTGGTTTGATGGCTTTGAACGCCACAACCACAGTGAAGGTTTTTGCTAAGATAGCAGAGACTGCAACGGAAAATACAACTCCAAAAATCATTTGTCTCAAGACACAGGTGACTCTTCTGGGTTGGCCAATGAATATCAATGAGCAAGAGAAACAGAGCATTAGAGAAACAAGCAGAATGTAACTGAGGTTTCTGTTATTTGCTCTGACTACTGGGGTGTCCCGATAGCAGATAAATAATCCCAAAATCAGGGCTGAGAAGGCAGATAAACTAATGGTCAGAGAGACCAAAACAGCCCCCAGAGTATCTTCATGGGACAAAAATGTCATAATTTTAGGGAGACACTGAAATTGCTCCTCATTAGGATACTGATCTTCGGGGCACTTGATGCACTGGTCCACATCTGAAAGGGAAGCAGATTGATTTATTACACTCCACCAGTCACTTCCCAAATGTATGTATGGGAAGTGTACCTTGAGCAGAACCATTGCTGAACTCTGAAGGGAAGGTATTGTGGAGTAATCTTTTCTCTACACTGTGAAGATGTGTCTTTGCCAAGGCCCCTTCTTACTTGGTTTAATAAGAAGCTAAATGTCCATTTGATAGGCAGGATGTATAGGCGGGCCAGCCGGACACAGAGGATGCTGGGAAGAGGGAAGGCTGAGTCACCAGCCAGAAGGAGAGGAAATCAGCATGGGGAGTGAAGAATAAATGTAACTGGGACACAAAGAAAGAACATAGATTTAAAGACATGGGTTAATTTAATTTTTAAGAACTAGTTAGGAACAAGCCTAAGCTATTTGCTGATCTTTGATAAGAAGTCTCCATGTGGTTATTTGGGAACTGGCAGGCTACAGGAATGTTCCTGGTTACATTCACTGAACCATAATATTGAAGAAAATAGATGAATAAGTTAATTTTTCTTTCGTGAGAGAAAAATACACATACAGGTGAATCCATAAAATATACAGAAAGTGGGTGGAATTATATGAAAAGAGTCAGAAACCTGGAAGTTATGTTGAGGGAAATCAGACAATATGAAAACTATATTTTGTTATATATATAAAAGGAAGAGAAAACACATTTTGAAACTTTTTTTCCTTTCTTTTTTTTTAACCTTTTCTTAATTAAAAAAAAAAATCTTTCTTTTTATTGCTTGAGAAAGCACACACTGAGCTTTGATCAAATCCACCACCCATTTCTTCTCCCTCCAATTCCTTCTCTACCCCGTCCCACCACTTTTCTCTCCCAACTTCACTTGCTCTATAAAAAACAAACAAACAAAGGAAAACAAAAAACAAAAACCCACTGAGTTCTCTTAGTGCTGCTAGCATGCCCAAGGGTATAGGGCCATCTTCCAGAACATGGGCAGCCTATCAGGGACCACGTACCTGAAGAGCACCGACTCTTTCTTTCCAGCAGCCATCAAATGCCAATAGCTCCTCAGGTAGGGGTGGGAGGTCATGAGCTCCACCCCATCCATGGTGGGATTTTGTCTGGCTTGATCAGATACATGTCTCTGAAGGTTCGTGTGCTCAAGGGCCCTGTCATGTCTGCCAAGGGTTGCTTCACCACAGATATCCCCACCTCTCGTTCTTACGACCTTTCTGCCTTGTCTTCTACTGTGGCCTCTGGGGCTCTTATCCCCGGGGGCTCTTGGACGTGACTATGGAAGGCCAAAAAAATTAAAACTCCTTGTTTTCCGGCATCTATGTTTAGGAACTGTAGTGTTTTCTTTTGTCTCTTTGACTTTGATTTTTGCCAAAGGATGTTTAGAAATGATACTGAGGGCGATACATTTTAGAGGTGAATATTTTTTACTTATGAAAAAAAAAAAAACAATGCTTGTTTGAGTGAGTTCTTTAAAATTTTTCATTGAATTTTCGTTAGAAATTTATTAAAGTAAAATTTTTTGCACTTAATTGTTAATGTATATTTACATCATTTGAGTTTTCCACAATTTTACTGGAAAATTTAGTAATTTTCTTCTCATAGTATCTTTTTGAAAAAAGATACAAGTAGAGGTAAATCTGAATATTGAAAACAAATGCAGTGACATGGGAAGTCTTATTCACTAAGCTTAGGCATCATTCACTCTGAAGGATGCTTGCATGGGACCCTTCTTTACTTAGAAAAATAATTACAGCAAGGCACAATATCACACACCTGTAATTCCAGCATTCAGGAAACAGAAACAGGAGGGTCGTACCCCAATCTGGTCTACATAGCATATGCCATGTCAGACAGAGCTTCACAGTGAGGCCTTGTCTCAAAAAGGAAGAAAAGAAAACAGTTGTATATTCAACTATGAATTTATAGGTCACAAAAAAATCTTAAAATACCAGTAAAGAATAGATCATCCTATACTGTTAACTTGTCTTCCAAAAAGTGGTTCAATCCAGTTCTTTTCAGTGGTATACACAGGGCTAATGATTTTCTATGATTATTATCTAAAGGTAATGTGCTTGGATATCTGCTATGCACACTTTCCTTTTTATTTTGAGGACTATATCCTTTAACATAAGCAGCTAGATACCGGTGGTTTGAAGAAAAAGGGTACATAGAAAGAAAATTGGTTGGACTACTTCCAGAGCAATGTTCTAAGGGGCCTGTCAGGAAGGATTAGCAGTCCCTGAATAGATGATGGGCCATAGAATCTATTTTAAAGATGTATGGTGACCTGGTTGAATTTAGTTCAAGTAATGAAACATGGTGATAACTGCATGATCTGTGGATGCAGCTGTGTAAAGAGTACATGCCTGGCATCTTTAGGTTCAAAACCCAGCACATAAATGTGCTAAATGCTTGTTGATGATAGGCATGTTTTCCTCAAAACTGTTTAGTACCACAGGATCATGTCACCCAATTAAATTCCTCATTTGTAATTTGCAAACTTCTTTTTAAAAATTAATGTTTTTAGACACAGTACAAAAATTACTGCTCCAGACTATGCAAAGCATAAGTGTTGAGGTACAAGGATAATGTTACACTTGGCAAATATTAGATTACAGAGGGAAAACAATGCAGTCATATAGACTTATAAATATCAAGCCTTATGCTGACCCGGGAATACTGAGAGAAATGTCCTAATATTACATACAACTACAGGAACTTAAAAATGATGATATTCTTAGAAATTATGAAGGTGAATATATTTTCTTGCCTTTTATCTATTAAAATCAAATTATTATGTGGCACAAAGTCTAATTGTTCTTAATAATAATGACCTGGAGTCAGAAATAGGCAGGGGGAATGCTGAAAGATCAGAGAAGCAGAGCAGCCAGCCAGTTCTTACCTCTACCGAATCCTCAGACTGAATGGGTGACCCTGTCTCTAGGAGTCCTCAAACTGAATGCATGAGCTCCTGTGTCCTCCCTCCTTATATTCCTCTCTGCCCAGCCATATCACTCCTGTGTCCACCCCTCTAATGCTGGGATTAAAGTTGTGTGTCTCCCAAGTACCGGGATTAAATGTGTGAGCCACCACTGCCTGGCCTCTATGGCTAACAAGTGAGGCTAGTTCTGCATTGTTAAGTCACAAACGAAACATCACCACAGTATCATTTTTCTAAGACAATGGTGGTATTTGGTGTTGATGAGAATACAGAGAATGGGCTTGTCTATCGTTCCAGCACCAGAGAAGCAGTCAGTCTGGCCGTCAGTGACTCTGCCACAAAGAGCAAAGAGCCTCATTTTAAACATTCTTCACATAGGGAAAGACTTCATTCAAAAGAGTAAAATGAGCATGGCAACAGGCCTGCTTAGAAATAGATGTTAGAGGAAGAAGTGAGGTCAGCTGGTAGCCAGTGAGATGGGAGGAGCATCCTCACACCAGCATCCTCTGAGGTCACTCAGTGCTTGGCTCTACAGTGGCCCCAAACTAGCTTACAGTACCAGGGAATACATTTACAACAAGAACTCCCAAAATAAAGTAATTTGAGAGAAGAGTATAAAATCGCAGAGCAAGTATTCATTTAGTCATTACATGAGTAGTTATGGAGGTTTTACTATTCACCATAGGAAGTGTCTCAAACAATGGTCAGAGGTCTCAGGGAAGAGCAGTGTGGCTGCCATCAGTGTCACTCTGCTACAGTATTTTTAGCAGTACCGAGTTGTGCCGAGTATCCATTTTGTCTCAGCTGTCTCTAGGTCGTATGATCACAATAATTGATGCAGTTTCTCTGAAGCTAGTTCCCTCACTAGTCAACTGTTGATTATCCTTAGTCATCTTTTTGTAAGCATGAAATAAGGTCTTGCTTTTATAATGCATTTCATGGTTTGGGGTAAACAGGGAGCACTAACTTCACCCATTACTACTGCATCAGTGAAAGCAGGAGTGGAAAGAAAAGAAACTGAACTCAATGCAAATTCACTGAAGACAAAGCTGGGCCAGATGCTATAGCACACCCCTGTTCTCATCTAGGAGGCTAAGGCAAGAGGCTCCCTCACTGGAGCCGGGGAGTGAGACCAATCGGGGCAGCATAGCAAGGCTCAATTTCAAACACACGCAACAGTAACAAAATGGCTGGGCCAAAATCAAGATGGGTTTTTGTTTGTTTGGTTGATTTGTTTTTCAAGAAAAGGTTTCTCTGTGTATTTCTGGCCACCCAGGCTGACCTTGAAGTCAGAGATCTGCCTGCCTCTGCCTCCCAAATGCTGGGATTAAAGGCTTTCGTCACCACTAACTGGAAAGAATTTTTTTTAAAGTATAGGGAGTTAGCTATATAAATATATATGATCTCCAGCCATTGTGTTACTCACCCCTGTGTCATTATGTATTATTTCCACGTTCAAACTCATTTCTAGAAATACCTGTTTCGTTTGCAATCTCTCCTTGTGGGCAAGGGAGGCAATTAAAACAACAAAACGGTTTTCCTTCAAGAGGTGTTTTTCTGAATCCGAGTATACAACTTGGACTGCAGATAGAGAAAGGAATCTGTATAGGAGACATGGGAGGAGGGGAACCAGTCAAGAGGCAAAATGCAGGATTAGCACCAGACAGTAGATTTCAGCAGGACTCTGTGTACTGTAATGATACGTGCTTTTAGAGAGTTTGATGCCCAAAGATCTCTCTCTCTTCCTCTCTCTCTCTCTTGATTTATTTTATTTCATTCGTGTATTATTTTTATTATACAAAACAATTCTTAAGTTTAAATATATTTTGATCATATCCTCTCCCCCAAATCAGTCCAGATCATCTCTTCCTCCCTACCTATCCAACCTTAAGCTCTTTCTCAAAAATAAATCAAAATCCCAAAACAACAACAAACCCTCCAAACTAAGAAAATAAAATATAACAGCATCCCCCCAAAAGAAAAACAAAACAAACCCCACCAAACTAACCAAATAAAAGCAAAAACAACAATAACACAAGTAGAAAAAATAAAAACCCTGTGGGTTCCCTTACTTGTTGGTCATCTACTCCTGAACACGAGACCTGCCCTGGAATGGTTGGTATACCCAGTGTCAGTTCATTAGAGAAACTGACTTTCCCTCTTCAAGACCATAACATTCCCCATTAGTATTCATCTCTTCTCTGTTCATAACATCACTGAGATGCTCAGGGTGAGCAGTTCCAACAATAAGGGAAATGAATGTGCATATAGGTTTTAAATTCAAATTCAGAAACACCTATTTTTAGAGACCATTTTTCCCCCAGGTCTTTCTTATTTCTCTTTCACCTCCACTCAAGCCTTGCCCTCTCTGTAAGCTCCATCTGGAAAAGTTCATCAGTTGTTTCTTCTTACCAGGTAGGCCAAGGGTCTGTTTGATTATTACAAGGAAATTTAAAGAACTAATCCAAAATGAATCAGTAATTCTTAACAATGAGTCTGCAGTCAGAAAGTTCTGGTGTTTGGCATCGGTAAGAACAAAGTGAGGTCCCTCTTAGCCTAATGACATTCAGTGGCTCCCATAAATCCTGTTCTCTGAGGAGCTCCACTCTGAGGAATGGCAATGGCACCAACTCCAAAGATACTCACTTCATTGTAGTATTCACCCCAAGTTATCAGTGTATCGTTTAGGGAAAAATGGTGAACTGTGCCAGATTCAAAGACGAACTCGCCAACCTTCACTTGAGCTTTTGTACCATTCTGCAGAGACTGGTAATTAAAGATGTCAAGCTTGGTTGTCAAGACTTGCTTATTTACAGGGTTCTCCTCATCAGTGTTTCTTCCAAGTTGGCCCTTTTTTAAGAATGGGTGCAGCTAAAAGTGAAAAATATCTTTCAAAATTCGAGCTATAAAGACATAGAAGTACAAATGAACCTGGCTACCCTCCTTTCCCTAGATATCTGTTCCAGCGGCTTTCATTTTTGTTCCCTATGCCAAACACTTACCAGAGGGCTAATACATGCCAGAAGAGGGCCTGCATGCTTTGTCTATATTAATAATTATGTGCTATTGACTAACGCTATCGCCACTTAACCAATTTGAAAACTGAACTTTCCTAAATCACACAGCTAGTCAGTGATGAAGCTAGAACGCTGGGCACCCAGTTATAATTTTTCAGGAAAAAAAAAATAGAGCCATTTGAAGGAGATGTCTTAAACTCTTTGCATAACAGCATTTCAAGACAAATTCATTTCTTTCACAAATTTAATTACTTACAATAAAACATTTAGTTTTTTAAAAGTAAAAGTTGCATTTAAGGAGGGAGGGTGAAAGCCGAGCACACGTGATACAAAAATGGAAGGCATAGCCTGGCGTTGGTGGCGCACGCCTTTAATTTCAGCACTGGGGAGGCAGAGGCAGGTGGATCTCTGTGAGTTCGAGGCCAGCCTGATCTACAGAGCAAGTTCCAGGACAGGCTCCAAAGACACAGAGAAACCCTGTCTCAAAAAAGAAAAAAAAAAGTAATTATGGGATGGCAAGTTGTAAGGATGCATGGGAGTAGAAGGAAACAGGAAGTGGGGGCAAGTTAATCAAAACTGAAGATACATGAAGAAGTCACATGGAAAGTTATAACTTTATAGGGTAATAGGAAAAAACATAATTTACAAAGATTTTCAACGGAATTATTACAGTTTATTTTTAAAAATCTTAATTGCAGATGTGGGAAATTCTCCTTTTAGTTAGGAAGCCCCCACAGGGCCCCCAAACTATGACCATTGCTCAGAACTGTATAGTAAGACCCTATTGCTGAAGACACCACACACCTGGCTTCAAGACACAGAAGCTAGGCTGGTAAGCTGAGAAATATGTTACTAGAAAATTTTGTTATCGAGCAAACATTTCTAAGCGTGACTGTAACAAATGAGTGTGACCACACCATAATTAAGAAATACAAGTCTGTGAGACTTCCACTGTTTATGTGGTTTCCCCTTGACTGACACATTATTTTGTGGCAAAACTATATTTACACATGGAACAAATTCTTCAACTGCCTCAAAAATAACAATCTAGGACCATTTTTGAAAGAAATAATACAATTAGACAGTGCCCATAAGATACTTAATTTTGCAATAAGGTGTTGGGAAATTTAAGTACTTGTCCCTTACAACTCTCTTCTCCCCACCCAGATGTAGAACTTCTGTGCAAACAAGGTTGTTTTCAAAACTTTCCTGTGCGCAGTGCAGGTGTGCCTTGACCCCAGATGTGGGTAGTATGTGACTTCCTCCTATGCTTAGCCCATCCCCTGGCTTGGGTATATAAGCCCATTACTCTCTGTAATAAACAGTGGCAGCAGCTTCTTTTTAACTTCTCGTGGTGGTCTGTTAAGTGTTTCAATCCTGACACCCTCCGCCAATCTTGGTCCCAGGCTGTGCAGGTACGGCAATAAGAATATATATAGGATTGAAAGGACAGGATGAAAAAAAGACAATTTCATGTTTATGATAATCAAAATAGGGAGGGGTAGGGCTGAGGATGGAGCTGAGGAGTAACACCTGGCCAGCAAACACAAGGGCCTGGGTTCAATACATAACACTGAGATACATGGATAGATGGTAGACAGACAGACAGACGATAAATGCACTTGAATGCAACTTTGGGAAGAGCAGAATTTAGGTCAAACACTATCACAAAAGGCAAGAAATCTCAAATAATGGCTGGGGGAAATTCATCAAGAGGATAAAGCAATTGTAAATATAATAAAGTATATAAACCAAATATTAACATATCTAAAAATCAGAACTAGGCTACAGCAAAATATCAGTGGTGGATGTCCATCTCTTCACTTTCAGAAATGAATCTTTTAGACTGAAAATTGAATTGAAATATTGAATTTGAAGCCCACAGTAGATTAAATGAACTTGACAAATATATACAGAATATTCTTTCCAAGAATCACAATATTCTTCCCATTTTAAAAGGTCCTTATTGCCCCTTGCCTAAGTCAGGCAACTATATGATAAGAAAATCACAGACTAGTATCTCAAATGACTATATATGCAGTAATCAACAAAATGCTTTGCAATATCTTATTAAAACAACACTATGACCAAATGCTTTGACTACAAAGATGGGCCAACACAAATAAATTACTGAATTTAATAAAGCTCAATAATAGAAAAAGTAAAAGAAAAAAATCACATGCTCCTCTCAACAGATGTAGAAAAACATCGGGAAAAAAATCAGGATACTTGCTTAATCAAAACTTTCAACATAGTCAGTAGAGAAGTTATTTGCCTGAATACATTAACTGCCATGTACAGTGAAGCCTATACTGTGTACCTAAAGAAAACAGGAACTTCTTCACAAATGCTGCTGGGGAAACTGGATGAATTCAACTAGACCTGTGTTGCACACACTACACAAAAATCAATTCCAAGGAGTTCAAACACCTTCACAAAGGCCTGAAACTAGTAAAACATGCAAAATGGGGGGGGCACTTCTGGAGATGAGCACGGGCTAAAGCTCTCTGAAAAGAACTCCAATCAATGAGGAACTACAGGAATTCATGTCTGCTGAGACCAGGAGAATTCTCTTGCCCAGGGATGTGCCCTAATTGGTTATCCAATATTAAGTGGCCAGCCCTAAAAACATACAGGCACAAGAAACGCTAGATGGACTCAGCAGGTTGTAGTTATAATATATGTTTGATTGTAATATATATGTGGAACAACAATGATTAAAGAAAAAAGGCTAGGATTTGAGAGGGAGTGGGGAATGGGCATAGGAAGAAAAGAGAGGGAGAGGAAAATTACATAATTATATTTCAATTAAAAATCAAATAAAATTTACAGACAAATTTAAAAAGAAAAGGCTAAAGATCGCTCCTTTAGGACAAATGCACACTGTTGAGCACATGAGCTGGTCTCTGATTCTTGTGCCTTCTCTTGGGCTCTTTCTTTCTGTTGGTTTGTCTTGTCCAACTCCAAAGTGATAGATTTGCTTTCATTTTATCTTATACATAATAGAGAAGGATGCACACTCTCTCCATTTCTGGTGAGCATCAGAGGGTCAGATAAGAGAAAGGCACCAGGCATCCAAGCCAGAAGGAAAGAAGTAAATGTCTGTTTTGACAAACGGCATGAATTTTGCATAGTTGTGTGGAGAAAGCCCTCTGCCAAGAATAAGTAAGAAATAATAAATGAATTCAGTGAAGTTGTAGGACAAAAACTCAACATAAAAAGTCATACACACTGGCCCTGGCCGTTCCAGAACAGGCAGTGGCTCTAGGAACTCAAGAAATTGAGACAAGTGGGAATAGGCTAAAAGCTCTGGGAACAAATGGTCAACCCCCTTCCCCAATGACAACAGCTAGGGATAGTGAAGGTGCCACGTAGAAGAGCCCTCACTCACCCTCCTCAACACACCTGAGCCAAAAAGTCAAGTGGGGAGGGGAAAATACAATCAAAATATAGTTAAAATGTAAAGGAAGCCATATATAATGAGAGCCATAGGCAGTGGATGGCTACAAGCCAACAGGATCTTCTGCCTCTGCAGGGTAACTGTGCATATGAGCTGGTGGCAGTTTTGATAGCATACACAAGGCATGGCAAGCCAAAGCCAGACCAAGGGAGCTGAGCATTAAGTTCCACCCCTAGCTGAGAAGTCATTGGCAATTGTCAGCTGCTGGAAGGGAGGGTCAGTGTTCTCTAAGAGAGTAGTAGCGTCTGGGTTGTTGACCATGTTCCAGCACAAAGGCATATCCAAAATTATTGGGACAACACAAATTGGTCTCCATGGGCTTTAAGAGGGGGCATGTGAATTGGGGGGGGGAGTAGAGGAAGGGAGAGTTGGGAGAAGTAGGGAATGAATATAATCAAAACACACTGTACAGAATTCTCAAAGACACACACACACACACACACACACACACACACACAACTATATAGTAGTTTGAATGAGCAATGCCACCCTGATGGGTTCAGGTATTTGAATACTTGATCCCTGATGATAGTGTTATTTTGGAAGGTTAGGGAATTTTTAAGAGCTGAGGGCCTCTATCATTTATTACAGAAGTAGCAATTAATATTCTAGTTGTCGATCCACCAGAATTAACTTCCAATGGAGGACCCTTGTCTTGCAAGTTCTATAAGAAATATAGACTCCAGAATATGCATTGCTTCTGCCTGTAATTTTAAATGTGCTAACTGCATTCTTTTTTGTTTTGTTTTGTTGTTTTGGATTTTTTTTTTTTTTTTTTTTTTTTTTTTTTTTTTTTTTTTTTTTTTTGGAGACAGCGTTTCTCTGTATTGCTTTGGAGCCTATCCTGGAACTAGCTCTTGTAGACCAGACTAGCCTCTAACTCACAGAGATCCTCCTGCCTCTGCCTCCCAAGTTCTGGGACTAAAGGCATGTGCCACCAATGCCCAGCTTCTAACTGCATTCTTTCCCTAACCTGTGTGAGTGTGTGTGTGTGTGTGTGTGTGTGTGTGTGTGTGTGTGTGTGTGTATCTCATAAATACATTCCTGATCTACTAGGCACGTATGTCTGTGGGAAGTCAAAAGGATGACTTTTCATTTGAATAATCTTGATATATAGAATATATACTGGGTGCCTTGAATTCTAGAAAGCCCCAGAGAAAGGAAATTCTTCTCACTTGGGGGTCAGTAGGAACAAAGCCACAGTTTGGCCCAGAGACTGAAAATACCAGGCTCTGGATATAGCCCCTTCCTCTATTTATCCTTTTCAGATATACCTGGGCACTTTCACAGCCACACCCCCTCTGAGACATAAAAGATAACAGTCACCCACTTTATCAGTCTTTATCTGTCTTCTTGGACCTGAGAAATGAATGCCTGTTATCCTTGCTATTGCC